AACTTAGAAAACTGGATGAAAATAGTGGAAAGAAAACAAACCCTGGTTCTTGGCGGCCGAGGCTGGAAATTCACTGAGTGTTTCAATGCTAATCTCTCCGTTGCGGTTCTGAAGTTACTAATTAGTTTTGATATCTAAAAATCCTCTTCTGTGTCAGTTGGCTTGCCCAAAGATGAATGCACCTGGTGTGCTTCGCGGGAGCAGTTCTGCTCTCATTTGTTTGTAGGGTCATTCTGGGGAACGTTGTGTCTTCTCCACGTTTCCGTGCTTTCTTACGGTTGTCCTTCAAGCACCCCTGGGGACAGTGCCTGATTCACAGGGGGACTTGGGTAAGGATGCGTTTTTTTCTGGAATCGTGTACCGTTAGCAGGGCCTCCCAGCCTCTCGGAAGTGTGTTCGCAGAGGGGGCTCGGAGGGACTGGGGTCTGTTTCAGGGTGTGATGTTTTACGATATCTTATCCCCTTTTCTCCTTGGACTTGGTAGCCCCCAGGGGAGTCTGTAGCAGGAGTTGGGGTGACTGATTGGCTGTTGAAATGCCTGACATCCTGACTCCTGTCTCACATCCTCCTGCCATTCTGGTTGCATATGAGGCTGGGAAGTCCTGCAGGATCGTGGGGCCCAGGCTGGGGGTGCCAGCACCCTCTCCCCCTGAACAAAGATTTCTTTTAAAAAGGCCTTTGGCTGGCTCCTACCCCTTAAGGCTTTCCTCTGTGATCTTTGGATCCCCACTAGCTGCTGAGCTCTGGGTCTGTGGTTCTTGAGCGGGGAGAGCGGTCTGAGGTGCTCCCTCCACACCTCGTCACCTCCCCCGTGAGCTTTGGGCGACCTTTCCGTGGGATTTTTACTGGGGTGGGAGAGGTGTCTGGAGATTGAGTTGCTCTGGGCGGAAGTCTGAACAGAAGCTGTTTGTCTTTTGGGAAAGCAGAAGCTGCCCCAAGGAAAGGAGACAGGCAGGTGTTTGACAGGAATGTACCTGTGGGCAGCGCCCCCCCTCCCCCCACCCATCCACAGTTTCACTTTCTGTGGTTTCATTTATCCCACAGTCAACTGAGGTCCTGAAAGTAGCAAATGGAAAATTCCAGAAATGAACAGTTCATGGGTTTTGAATGGTGAGTAGCGTGATGTGATCTCACGCTGTCCTGCTCCATCCTGCCTGGGGGACATGAATCATGCGTTTGTCCAGCGCACTGTAGCGGAGAAAGAACTTTCTCTTCCTTCCTGGAGGTTTGATCACTGAGTTGGCGGGAAGAGCTGGCTGTAGAAGCAGTAGAAGAGGCAGTCGGTTTGTTCTCTGCGTCCTGGGGGCCGGCGCAGGAGGGATAAGTGAGCACCCCGTAGCCAGGGAGATGCGGAAGCTTAGGTACCGACTTCATAGGGGAGACAGAGGGGTGGCCAGAGGGGAGATGAACTGTCCCAAGAAGCAGATGACAGCCTGGGTCAGAGTTCCTCTGGGCTCTGGGTGCGATGTCAGCACTAGTCTCTCTTCTGTGAGGGAGGCGACAGGGGAGGGGCTCACGACAATCAGATCTTCTTGAGACTCTGGCCTTTAAGACAGTTGGGGAACTTCAGAAAAAGCCCCTCTCTGCACTTGCTCTCCCCAGGTGCCCTCAGTTGGGAGTCCAGAGTACTTTTCTTGAGTATCTTCCTCTGAGCGTCAGCATTTGCACTGTGTACATCACTGAGTGGCGGTCAAGGTTGTCAGATCTGCTGTGGTATTGTTTGTGGTGCTTGTGTAGGGGGCTTGGCGCTATCCTTGGTCTCAGGTGTCCATTGGGGGTCTTGTAAAGTGTCCCTTGGAGATGGGGGTGGATTACCATGCTGAATACCAATGGATGTGGTGTTCACCAACCTGGTCTTTCTCGGGAAGTGCTGGCCTCGGTCGTGCTGAGGAGCAGAAGTGGCTGGGAAGGTGAGTGGTGCCCATGGGGATGCCCTTAGGTCACGTGCTCTTAGGTCATGGGCTCCCCTTGGTTGGGTAGCCCTTGCTGCCTGTCCCCTCCCTTCCCATGTACTATCTCATCTGGAGGTGGTGGAAACCGCGCGGGGGAGCTGAAGATCAGCCTTCCTGTCCTGGAGTTGAGCCTTTTCGCCATCAACATCTGGGCAGTGGGAACTTTAAGGCAGGGGGGAGAGGGAGAGCCAGAATCTGACATTTCACTGGGCTTCAGACAGAAGTCAGAGCTGAATTGCCCAATCTGTGGGTTCCCCGGGTATAATACGGATCGCTTTGCTCTCTCCAGTTTGCTGTGAACTTGACATTTTCTTTTTGCCTAACAACAACAACCCCCCCAAAAAAACAACAAAACCCAAAAAACGTTTTATTGAACAAAAGAAGAGGGAACCTCCAAACTAGCCCCATGGAAAAGTTCAGTGAAGACCTCCCCCCAAGATCCCTGGTAGCCCAGAATAACCCCGGGAGCATTCTGGGAGCCAGCTCCATGGTAACCCGAGATGCAGCTGGCTTCTAGAAGGGAATCCCCACCTGTGGTTCAGACCCAGAAACAGAGTAGCCACACCGACCCTTCCAAAAGCAGCCCCGGGTCTGATTCTTCAGCCAGCTTCAGGAGCTGTGACCACAGAGCCCCGCGCCAGGGTGGAGCAGTCTGCGTGCTTGGGGTTTATCAGGGCGTGGCTGGTGCCATTTGGGGCATTCGAGAAAAGAGGTAGGGCTGTTTTGAGTCTTAGGAGAAGATGAGCCAACCAATTAAAAATAAACCCTGAACATGCCATTCTCACCTCCTCACACTGCCTGTCCCCCGCCAGACTGTTGCACCGTGAGCTACCGGACATATGTGACGCTGACCAGGGGGTTTGCTCGTGGCTCAGGCTGTGGATGGAAGGATGAGGGAGTCAGTGCTTGTAAGCCAGCAGTGTCCCTGGGACATGTGTTCTTTGATTATTTCATTAAGTAAACTTTGTATAGGAACCTAACACATGTACTGAAAGTGCACAGATGTTAAGTGGGGCGCTCTGTGCGCTTCACGAAGTAAACACACCTGGGGACCCCTGCTCAGATCCACAAGTAGCTCATCCCCCCCCCCCCCCCCCCCCAGAGAGAGCCCTGGGGAGCCCTGCCCCCATTCCCAGCATCACTGATTCCTTTGTCCTCTTGTCGAACTGGAGAGAGTGTCTGACTCCCTTTCTCAATATTAAAAACATCTTGTTTCCAATCCCTCTTCCAGGATGACCTTCCACGCACTTGGGTTTCGAGGACAACCCTCAAACCTTGGCGACCAGACGCCGCCCCATCAGCCCCGGGCTCCAGGCTGGCGTTCCTGCTCCAGGCGCCCTTGAATGAGCTCTTGTGTCTTCCAGCAGGAATCGTGGCCTGGTGCCACCTGGAAGACCTGGTAGCATGGAAACAGGAGTCCAGAGCAGGCTATGATTTCAGGCTCACAGACTTGGAGAGACGTGCTGCGTTTCCCACAGGGGACGAATCACATGTGTATCCCTTCATTAGGGTCCCTGGCACTCCCACCCCACTGCAGCCACCAAGGTGCTGTGGGCCTCTTGTGGGAGTGGGGCTGGGCGGGAGGGAGGGGAGCCCTTTGTGGCCAGGGCGGTTCACAAGTGCCCTTGTAGACTGTGCTGTGTTCTGAAAGGGGACATAGTGCCTGGGTCATTGCCCACAATAACCCATTAAGAGGCAGCCATCCTGGGGTTCCTGCAGTCTCACTTCCCCCTTTTTAGTCTGAGCCAGTACTGGGGACTGTTGGTTCCATTACCATGTCAAATACTCTTCTCCCAAACGGCTTCTATTTACCAAGTTTTAAGGAATGTTCATCTCTCTCTCTCTCTCTCTCTCTCTCTCTTTGTGATTTGATGAATAGGGTGACCTTTTCCATTTGTTGGTTTCTTAAGGTTGAAGGAGCCCTGTGTGTGTGTGTGTGTGTGTGTGTGTGTGTTGATTTATGAGCAGCGCTGTTTAGCTCCTCCCCCCACTCATCTTGGATGCGCTCATACACGCCCCAAGTACATTTCCCGTAGTGACATTTTAAGGAATTTGTATTGAAGAAAAGATACCAGTAGAAAATACATGCACATCTTAAAAGGACCTCTCTTGATTCTTTCTTCTCCGAGTATAGGCTCTAAGATACAAATGTTAATACAGGTACATATCCATTAAAAGGCACATCTATGGAGATAAACAGCCTGGGCTTATGCTCCACATACTGTTCTGCAACGTCCTTTCTCCTCTCTGTCTGTATTGTCGATGTTTTCCCATGTCAGGACCTCCTGGCATCTGGGTTCTTTTTAAAGGCTTCTTTCTTGGTGCTTATATAGATATGCTGTGCACATCATCTTCCCATCTCCCTTGTGGGAGATGTTTAAGTTCTTTTTAAGTTTTGAGCTTTTACAAAAATAATGCTATAAAGAAAACAAAACAACACGACCTTTTGCGTGCCTCTGTCTAGGTTCCTAAGGAGAGATTCCTGGGGATGAAGCTGCTGGGTCCAGAGGTGAACTCATAATAGATGGTACTGGGTATGTGTTCATTGCCAGATGGCCCCAGGGAGGTTGTACCAATTTATACCCCCTCTAGGAGGGGAGGAGGGCCCAGTTTCCTCACACCCATGCCAACTTCTGGATTACCCACCTTCTTAACTTTTGCCGATCATATTGTTTTTAAAAAAATGGTATTTTCATTTGCCTCTGTTTAAGGACAAGTGAGGTTTTTCAATCTCTTTGTTTATTAGCATCTTATTTTTTGTGCAATGATTGTTCATTTCCTTTATCCATTTTTCTCTTGGTTTGTGTATAGTTTTCTTATTGATTTTTAAAGAGTTCTAATTAGGGACTCAGAAGATTGTTTTAAAAGATGCATTAAGGAAAAAAAAAATCGTTGGCATTCCTGTCTCTAAAGTTCCATAAAAGATCAAGTTGTTCTTCTTCTTTTTGGCACTAGTTGAAGGCTTTGGTTTTCTGCTTTGTTTTTATTTAATTAGGTGAAATTTTCCTTCTGGCTGGAGAGTCCCGGCTGTCTGTAAATGCGTTATCGCTTGTACAGCACGGGGTGGATCTTGACGGGAGGTGGCAAGTGAGCCATGCCAGGCGGGGGCGGGAGCCTGTTGGAGCTGATTATCGCAGGCATGCAGCGAGGAGCTGGATCCCTTGCCCGGTGTCCCTTACAAACCGTGCTCTGTCATACGGTTAGTGTAAAAGCACATGATCCACCCAGGCAGAGGCTGGGAGAGGCTCTGGGCTGTGCTGGCGGTTCTGCGTCACGGTGTCTCTTTATCCTGCTGGCATTGCCCGCCTGGGTCCTGCTCTCCACATTCTCCTGCCAGACTCCCAGGGAGCCAGGATTCTTCCCTCACATCCAGAGCCTGTGGAGTGCTGCCTCCTTCCATATTGGTAAACAACCTGGCTGAGGGTTCAGAGGACACCAGGGCTGCCAGGGATGGGGATAGCTGGGGGCCACGTCCCTGCACTCCCGTGACCAAGCTCTTGACCGAGTCGCTTGAGGTCCCTTTGTTCCTGGCAGGCCACCCTCATCACTTCAAGGGCTTGCTTCTTTGCTTGCTCTGGATGAGAGTCCCAGCCCCAACTGGGCTGCAGCTGTCACTATCCCTGGATACAGAAAGAAACAAATAAAAGCCAAGGGAAGGGTGCTGGTGACTTGGGTTTACCGTGGGGAGAAGGGAAACAACTCCTCTGGGGGTGGAGGACTGAAGGCTTCCTCAGCCCACCCCGGCAGAGTGGGAACCCGCAGCCCGCCTCCGAGGGGCGTTGTCAGCCACAGGAGCACCTGGGCCTGGCTCTCCTTCCCCATCCTGTGTGTCCAACCTTGACATCTTGTGAACTGTGAGAATGGGTCAGCCCAGAGGGCTGCACTTGTCTCCTGGGTGGCTGTGTCAACCGTGCTGACAGTGCATGTCATCACATCCAAAGACACAAGTTATGCCCCAGAGTTCCGGAGCCCGCTGAGGTTGCTGTGTGAAATGGGGTCACATGTGAATTGTTACTTTGACCCAGGAAGAATTGTTGGTTTGCACTCAAGCTAATCCAGAAGTGAAGGTCGCTTTGTAGAAACCCCCAGTGTCTGTGGACTTCTTAAGAAAGAGAATAATAATATGCATTACAAATTGATTTGGTTCCTGCCCCCCCCCCCACACTTTTCTTATTGAGCAAGTTTGGATGAGTCGTCATCTCAACATGAAGAAACATGTTTTAGTTCTGCTAATCTCAAACGATGCACAAATGTGGACTCTCCATAGGATGGAGGAAGGATCCCAACTTGTAGGCTTTTCATAATATCAGCACGAGGAAGCAGCCGCCCTTCCGTATCTATCCTCCCTCCCCCACACAGTCACTGTCCCTCCCTTCCTCTCTCCTTCCTTTCAGCACATGTTTTGTCTGGGCCCTGGGCTGCGTTTCAGTACCTTCCCTCCTTTGGTGTAAAAACTGATTTGGGGGTTGTGGGGAGACAGGCACACCAGCAGAAGTTTATAGAGCATTAGGGTAAGTGGGGAGACGGGGGTTTGCCTAAGTTATGTTGAAAAGTCTAGGGGAACATGTAAACTGTCCTGTGGGGAGGAAACCCCTGGGATCTGGGATTGCTTGTCCACACAGACCCTCCAGCATGGATCCAAGGACCTCAGTCCTTATCTTTCATGGGGTGGGAAGCCACAGGAAGATTTGAAACAGTGTGTGCCTTGGACAGGTCCGCTCTACAGCTGTGTGAAGGATGCCTTTTATGGGCCAGGGTTAGTGCCAGGAAGGCCAGTGAGTTTGCTGTTTGTGCAAAACGGGTAAGAGAGAAGGATCTGCACCAGGGGCGTGAGTGGCAGCCTGGAGAGGCAGGGTGGATGTGGGAAGTAGTTACCACCTGTTGCCCAATGTGGAAGGGGTGGTGGTTGGCAGTTCTGCCAGTGGAAATACCCTGTGACGCAGGAGGAGCAGGTGTCGAACCTGAGAGTTCTGTTTCAGATGCGCTGAGTTTGTGCTGGGGAGAGAAGCATCTTGGATGGCGGGAGAGGGAAGCTGTGGGTGGAGGATGCAGTTGACAGGAAGAGAGCTTGGTTGGAGGTGTCCATTTGGGGGTTATGGCTGTGAGGGTTGAACCTAATAGTGGATGAAAGGATGTGTCCAAGGTGGATGTATCGTGTTCATGCAGACGGGAGCAGAACTCGGAGACCATTGAGGGGTGGGTGGAGGAAGGGGCCTCCAAGGTGATCAAGCAGGAAGGTGCAGAGAGCTAGGTGTGTCGGGGAGGCAGGGGCGCAGAGGGGTATTGTCAGGGAGACCCAGGGGGTGGCATTTCAAGAGGGAGTCATGCAGTTGGCCCAATGTAGCAGAATTGTACATAAGGTAAAGGTAAGAAAGGTAAGCTTTGGCTTCAGCAACTGGGAGGCCTGCGAGACCACTGGTGATCTGGCAAGGATAGATTCAGGAAAGTGATGGGTGGGAGACCCAGATGGACACCTCAGCCTTCACCAAGCCTTTGACTTCCTGCCAGTGTGGTCATATTGAGTGCTCCCGCTCAGCCAAGAGCAATGTAGCAACATGAAGACCTGGAGCCACACCGTAGGGCACGTTATTTAATTTATTGAAAAATCATTTCTTAATGAACAGCCCCCGTCTGCTCTCTAGTCTCACCTGGTGTGATTCTATTGTATTCAGTTCGGGGTGGATCCTTTTACATTCCAGATCACCGTTCCTCTAATTATTAATCATGTAGCTACATTATAATGGTGTGCTTTGCGAGGTGACATATTATGTATCTGCGTTACATCTAGTTTTTATATAATAGTAACTCTTTAATAGTGAATAATGGAACCTTGAAGAAACGAGCCCTGGTTAATCTCATAGCCTCTCTCTGTGTGCTGTCATAAAACATGTGGAAAAACCTTGATGAAAAAACCACTGAATTTGTAGCATTTTTTATCCTCCTTGAGAGGTTTTCTGGTATGTGTGACACGCAGCAGGGGTTCTAGTGTTTCAGGCTGTGACTAGGTGACTCTGATACACCCAGGTGGACCAAGCACCTTGATTTCCCTGGAGCGTGCCGAGGCTGTGTTGGTTGTTTTCTATTTTCTAGATGAGTAAACGGAGGCACCGAGGGTTAAGCTCATTCCCTGTGATCGGAAGGAGTGGAATTCGAATGCAGAGTCCCAGGGCTCAGGTGCTGACTGGAATAAGAAGAGCCCGACAATCCCACTTTAGTTTGTAAATTTGCTTTGTTTTCTGGACAGTCACGAACTACCCTTTGCAAGCTGGAAAACCCAAACAGTCACTCCAAGTGTCAGCCCTTCGATTTAGCAAATCTGATGAGCCCCTTGCAGAGGGATAAGGGCTTATCCCGAGCTCCGCAAGCCGCGGTCCTTTGACCCATGCGTGCCCAAGCGAGGACTCCACCAGGACATACTCCTGACTCCGGCCCTCCCTAGATGTACCAACATCGTTTGCTCAAGAAGTCAGCTAATTCCGTCTGATGGAGGGCCTGTCGTCGGCTCCGTGTGGAGGGAGGGTGGCTGCGTGAGCAGATTGCAGAAGCAGTTGGGATGGTTTAATGGATTAAGCTACTTAAGGAAATTTAAAAAGACGCACCAGTTAATATGCATCCCCCCGGCTTGGCGGTAGCAGGCTGGGGTTTTTTTTTTTTTTTTATTTCCCTGGCAGAGTTCCTGTCCTAATCGGAAGTGATAAGCCAAACAATTGTTCATTCGCCGAGACATGATGGAAGACGGAGGATAATTGATGTGAACCCGAGAGGCCCTTGAATCTACAGGGTGTGGGAGGCAGGTCTGATTCCTGGCCCTTTGGAGATATTTTCTCGCGTCGTAGGGGAAGCACAGGACCAGCCCCCTCCCAGTGGACGGCAGAGCAGATCAGAGTTCTGAAATGCAGAGGCCAGAGTTGAGGCTCATCAGGGCCCAGAAACCTGGCTTCTTTGGTCAAACTTCCAGCTTGACCGGCTGACAGGCTGGCCTACCCCTGGCTCCTGGTCTCTCTGTGTTTAAACAGGAGGAAGGACACTCAGTACCTGCCTTGCAGAATGTTTTCACTTCTGTAGGGGAGGACCTCAAATATGCACCCCAGGCATTATTTTGAAAAGCTGATGAATGTTGCTAGGACAGGCGGGTGGTGTTTGCCTGTCGCGGGGACTGGGTGGGTATGTGTGCAGGGAAACAAAGAATGAGCAGGCTAAGAATTGAAGAGGAACTCGGCTGTCATCTACCAGTGCCTGGTTTTACACATAGGGAAACTGAGGCCCAGGGTGGTGAAGCAGTTCCCCACCCTGCCCCAGCGCTGGCTCCCTTGAGTTTTCTCTTATGACTTGCATCAAACCACATTGTTTGGAAGAGTCGGTTCCCGTTTGTGTTTTGACTGCTGTTCGAGATCTAGGATGACCTAGGAGGGCAATGGTTTTTTAGGAATTAGTTAGCTGAGGCGATCAGGTGCTAGGAGACACAGCCAGGGTTTGCACTGTGAGCTCCTTGCATCCTTAACACCTGGTGTCTGCCCCCGGGGTTTGCATTTCTGGACCTGAGTGACCTCTGGGTCCCAGCCCCCTAACCCCAACTCCGGCTAGCTTTGCATCTAGGCAGGCTGTGCCCTTCCTAGGGAGGCAGGGAGAGGAAAGGGACTCAGCCTTTCCTGAGTACCACGAACAGCAGCAGAGCTATGGGACAGCCAGTGAGAAGGAGGAGTAACAGATACTACTACTGATTATTATACTCCAAGTGTATGCCACTTCTCTATTATGTACCCTTAATCCTTCTGTTCATGTTAGTTTTGGTCTTTGTGTCTATCTGTTATTCTTCTGTCCCTCAGCAACACTGCCAGGGAAATGGGGTTACCCCAGTTTAACAAATGGAAGACTGAGGCTCAGAGAGACTAACTCACTTGTCTGGAGTCACACAGCGCGCTATGGTTGTAAGAGAGTGAGATACTCAAAGTCTGGCCCACTCCTGAGCGCATGTTCTTTTCATTTTAACATACGCTTTCCCTGTAGAAAGGGGACAGACAAGGTACAGGGTTGGGATTTATGGTCTGGTTTCCTTGTTCCCCCTGATACCCCAAGGGCCCTGCTTACCAAATCCTAGTCCCTTGGTGAGGACGAGGAGGCATATGGTGGCGCTGTGGCAAGGAGGACAGCCTCCCTGTGGCCTTCCCACCCTGACTTCTTGGGAATCAGTGTTTCAGGAGCCTCCGACTTGCTGGCCAGGCCTTGCTATTTTTATTTCTGGAATGTCATGGCTTAATAATTCGGGTGGGTAAATCTATCTTAAATGTTAATTTTTTTTCCTTCCACAATTTTATTTTTTTCCTGCAACTGTTGCTGCCTTTCAGAAAATGAAAAGAGTCCATCACAGACCGAATCTCCCAGATGGACATCCTCGCAACTGCTC